AAAAAAAAAAAAAAAATTAAAAAAAAAAAAAGATGAAATTAAGTTTAAACATTTAAGACTGAAAAATGAGGATTACTTTACCCATGACTACCGACTGCTGATCCCAGAAACATCCCCACTGTTCAGAAACTCAAGAGTCTGCTAAAACTTAGGGCTCAATCCAGTCTCCCTATTTCCATGTTAAAAACATTATCACAGTGCATTGTAAGTTTAACCGCACCCCATTGTACGAAATACTCGCATATCCCTTATATGTAAGTTAAATCCAGTAGAATTAGAAATGCATTGGGCACTTTATATAGTTGAAAACATGAATCTCAATCCGTATCATCACAGAAAAACTATAAAAACATAAGCAACTAGGAAATCATTTTCCTTCAAAAGCACATTTCTTATTAAATGTTAGTAAACTGTTCCATGTTTCTAATAGGCAATGAAATTACCTATTAGGAAATGTAAATTTTTCTCTTACCTAGTTTTACAGGAAAGCCTGGAGGAAGCTTCATCTGAACAAATTCTCTAAGCTTGTTAAAGTGCTTGAAGGGAGCTATTACTTCCAAAACATTCAATAATCTGAAAAATGGAAGGAGAAAAAAATGTTATCATTTTTCAAATTGATTTGTGTCCTTATGTTGTTTTATAACTATATGCATCAAACTCAGACAGTATTAACTTCTAGATGTTAAGGATGAGGAAATGTCACCTCCTTCATCCTCATGACTCTTTATTATTCTTTTTACTGTCAAAGTTCACAACTTTTACATTTGAATGTGAAGCCACAATTTCCACACTGTTTGACTTTAGATCTATACTTAAATGAACTCAAGGCTTACACCCATGTTCTTTCTGAAGTCTACACTTTCCTGAGTTCTTTACTTAGCCTCACTGTTTGAGTGGCTGTATTTCACTGTCAATTCTTTATGTGTGATGGGCTCTTATGTGCTTAGTATTCCTTGATTTCTTGAAGATTTCATAAATGAGTGTTCTGTTTTGCTAGAGGGCAATCTAGCTGGCATAAAATTTCAGCTTATGCTTCTTTCCCTCTGAATTACAATTTCATGATGTCTCCCAGGATTCAGTATTACACTAGTCATTAACTAGAACTTCTCCTTTCATCTTTTGGTTGGATGGATTTCATTTTTAAGTAGTAGTGTTTTCCTTTTTAAAATTTTTTTTAATGTTTATCTTTATTTTTGAGAGACAAACAGAGTGTGAGTGGGGGAGAGGCAGAGAGAGAGACACACAAAATCCAAACGAGGCTCCAGGCTCTGAGCTGTCAACACAGAGCCCGATGTGGGGCTTGAAATCACAAATGGTGAAATCATGACCTGAGCTGAAGTCGGATGCTTAACCAACCGACTGAGCCACCCAGGGGCCCCTAGCAATAGTGTTTTTCTTTCAAAGTGGACCCATAGCTGCTATATTTCTTGAATTCTTCTGTGTTTTCTTCAACTGCCTTGCTATGTAAATGACATCTTAGCCAGATACACTACCTGATCACACTTTCTTTGTCTCCGAAATGCCAGAGATGTGAAAAAATGTAAAGCCAGGTTTTTAACCTCTTTTTTGGATTTGTCAACAACTGAAGTCCAATAGTCTAATCGGGATAATTATTGTTACAATCATTATTGATTTTTCTCATTAGAACATAATATTATGTTACAAACTCAGGGTTTCCTTACAGAAAAAATGTCTTTTATCCTATTTTGAATATTATTTTGTTTACATTTTGGAGGCTCTCTATATAAGTGGATCACCAATAATCCTTATGTTGAACCCTCTTTATCCTCCATAAACGCTACTTCTCCAATTCCTTTAATCTCTTTTCATAAATTCATTACGAACTATCGGATTTTATTTTCCAGCCACATCTACTGTGTTCACTGTTGTTTCTAATGTATTTATTTTGCAACAGTGTTATTAGTGCTTAATTTATTTCCTTAGCTTTATAGTCTTTTTATTTCATTCTATTATCATCTCATCTTAGAATGATCCATTTCACTGATTTCACATTCCTTTTATGTTTTTCTTTTTAATTTCTTTTATGTTTATTTATTTCTGAGACAGAAAGAGACAGAGCATGAGTGGGGGAGGGGCAGAGAGTGAGGGAGACACAGAATCAGAAGCAGGCTCCAGGCTCCGAGCTGTCAGCACAGAGCCCGACGTAGGGCTCAAACTCACAAACTGTGAGATCATGACCTGAGCTGAAGTTGGTCGCTCAACCAACTGAGCCACCCAGGTACCTTTTACGTTTTTCTATAGCATTTACAAGGAATTTTCTTCTGTTCTTTGACCTATGTTATATTCTAGAATGAATTCTTTGTCTGGCTTTTATATGCTATGTTTCTTTTTTTCAGAAGGAATGGTTATAATGACCACACTATAAATACTAATGTACCTGGTTTTTTTCACATATTAACAGTGAAATTGGGATAACTCCTAAAATTGATAGCATATTACAATTAGCCACATTTTCTTCCTTATTAGAACATAAAACTGGTGTATCCAGTTTTATGGGTCAACTGGATCCAAGACAGGATGAATTATGAAGATTTGTATGCATGGCTAATGCCCTTGCCACATCTGGGAACTATCAATCTCCCTCTCTGATCTATAGATTGAGGACTATACATAGCTCATTCTATTTTTCTATATTTGGGTTATTGAGGAGTATGAGGCATGTATATCCTTGGTAAAAAAAATATGACTCTTTCTTTCTTTTATGAGAATTATTTTTAATATACTAGGCCAGTTTAGAAGGGGAAGGAAGTAAGAAGGAAAAAATAGCCTGCAGCTTCAACTTACCCCTTACTTTAGAGAGGAGGCTAAAGCTATAGTTCTGTCAGCCAGCTCTACCGACCCACCTCTCCCATTCCACCCATCTCTCCAAAATGATTTTTTTTTAAATGAGCATCTGATAAGTACAGGTTTGAAAGGACATAGTCAAGATGTTCATTGAAGTATTGTTTACAATGGTGAAAAACTACAATCAAAATGTTTATCAGTAGGGGTACAATAAAATAAAGGATAGTACATCAATACTACAAAATACCAAGGAAAGAAGAAAAAGACATAAAAATGTAATTATTGTGCAAATACTGAGATACACTCATTTTTATTTATTATTTATTTAATATAACTCATTGTCAAGTTAGCTAACATACAGTGTATACAGTGTGCTCCTGGCTTTGGGAGTAGATTCCCATGATTCGTCACTTGCATACAATACCCAGTGTTCATCGCAATAAGTGCCCTCCTTAATGCCCATCTCCCATTTTCCCCGTTCCCCCAACCCCCTACCCCCATGAACCCTCAGTTTGTTCTCTGTATTTAAGAGCCTCTTATGGTTTGCCTCCCTCTCCGTTTGTAACTTATTTTTCCTTCCCTTCCCCTATGGTCTTCTGTTAAGTTTCTCAAATTCCACATATGAGTGAAAACATGTATCTTTTTCTGACTGCCTTATTTCACTTAGCATAATATGCTCTAGTTTCATCCACATTGTTGCAAATGGCAAGATTTCATTTTTTTCACCACCGAGTAGTGACCCATTGTGTGTGTGTGTGTATAGACACATACATATATGTGTGTGTGTATATATATGTGTGTATACGTGTGTGTGTGTGTGTGTGTGTGTGTAGATATGTATGTGTACATATACCACATCTTCTTTACCCATTCATCAGTTTATGGACATCTGGCTCTTTCAAATTATTTGGCTATTGTTGATAGTGCTGCTATAAACATTAGGGTACATGTGCCCCTATGAATCAGCACTCCTGTATCCTCTGGATAAATTCTAGTACTGCTATTGCTGGGTCATAGGGTAATTCTATTTTTAATTTTTTGAGGAATCTCCACGTTGTTTTCCAGAGTGGCTGCATCAGTTTGCATTCCTACCAACAGTGCAAGAGGGTTTCTGTTTCTCCACATCCTCGCCAACATCTGTTGTTTCCCGAGTCATTAATTTTAGCCACTCTGACCGGTGTGAGATGGATCTCAAAGTGGTTGTGATTTGTATTTCCCTGATGATGCGGGATGTTGAGCATCTTTTCATGTGTCTGTTAGCCATCTGGGTATCTTCTTTGGAAAAGTGTCTATTCATGTCTTCTGCCCATTTCTTCACTGGATTATTTGTTTTTCAGGTGTTGAGACTGGTAGGTTCTGATACTAACCCTTTATCTGATAGGTCATTTGCAAATGCCTTCTCCCATTCTGTTGGTTGCCTTTCAGTTGTGTTGATTCTTTCCTTTGCTGTGCAGAAGCTTTTTAACCTGATGGGGTCCCAATAGTTCATTTTTGCTTTTATTTCCCTTGCCTTTGGAGACAAGTCAAGCAAGAAACTGCTACAGCTGAGGTCAGAGGCTGTTAGCCCGTTTTCTCCTCTAGGGTGTTGATGATTTCCTGTCTCACATTTAGGTCTTTCATCCATTTTGAGTTCACTTTTGTATATGATATAAGAAAGTGGTCCAGTTTCAATCTTCTGCGTGTTGCTGTCCAAGTCTCCAGCATCATTTGCTAAAGAGACCATCTTTTTTCCATTGGACACTCCTTCCTGCTTTGTCAAAGATTAGTTGGCCATACATTTGTGGGTCCAATTCTGGGTTCTCTATTCTATTCCATTGGTCTGTGTGTCCGTTTTTGTGCCAATACCATACTGTCTTGATGATTACAGCTTTGTAGTAAGGAATGAATTGAAGCCCCAGGCTATTTTTTTTTTCCTTCTTAGTTCCTTCCCCCTTCTAAACTTGCCTACTGTACACTCATTTTTAAAAGAAAAAACAAGGGGTGCCTGAGTGGCTCAGTCTGTTAAGCATCCGACTTTGGCCCAGGTCATGAT